ATCAGTATTCATTGTGTTTGTTATACAGATTCTTTTATATTTTATATTGTTGTTATTATCTGTTATGAGTTGTCCACCCATACCATCAAGCTCTGTAGTGCTCTGTACCTTTCATAGATCAACTATCTCAGCTTCAATTGTAAGACGTGGTCGTCTTCCAAGGGGAAGGATGTTCAAAAGTTATGTGTGTAGCCGGTCAAGTTCCACATAGCTAAAAATCGCATTACCCCTCTCCATGTAATGACGACAATCGTGTCCGGCACTACCGGCAGCTTGCGGTCACTACGTCGGTGTACGCGATTGAAGTCGTACCGAACCGTTTGGGTCTGATGACTCGTGGCCAGTGAGCTGGCATAGTTTTTTTGTTGGGTTTGTGTCAGCCTGTATAGGCGAAGCCCCAACATACGGTTACTAAAGGCTCAATCCATATTTGGAGTTGGTGTCCTTAGCGTCCACACACTGGTGGTGTTTCCTTTTCTGTGGTTCGTCGAGTTAGAGCGTCTTATCACTATAAAATTAATCGTGACATTCAGGATTGTTGGCGTCGGCCAAGAAGTATTGTTGTGGAAATCTCAAGCATTGCGATATCACGCGGCCGAAGAAGTGTCAAGTGGCTGGGTGATGTTACTCCTTTTTCTTATTACTTAATGTTCGTATTACATGTAATTATTTGATTTGTATATGATTAAAAGAATCGTGTCATTAGTAAAAATTAGAATAGATTGTTTTTTAGCCTATTATTCGACTGTGTAAGTAAACCCCCGATCCGTCATTTATATTAAGTTATTAACTTAAAGTTTAAATATAAAGTCGTGAAATAATTCACTCTGGAAATTGTAAAGTTTCATTTCAATATATTTTTACATTTTGGTAAGCAGGGCGTGGTGGGTTTTCTTGCCATCATTTGAGCCTGATGGGCCCGCTCAGACAAAAATAGGTGACATGATGTAATCACATGATATAAGTAGTAGAAGTAGTATCGGTCGTAGTTATCTTGTTGCTACTGTATAGTTTATTGCCCGTGCGGAGTTTTATTGATAGTTATCGATAGTATAGATAAGTAATATTGTGGTATATTACTGTTGATGTTCACGCTATTTATTACTTAGTGTTTTGTGTTGAATTTTTTGTATATTTCAGGCTAGAATTTAAAACAAAACTTAAATTAAAAAAAAAAAAAAAAGAAACAATAAAATAGCTATGTAGAATTTAAAACTCAATTTTTTGTTGTTAATATAAATGTATATAATGTATTTTATTGTTGCATTTTTCATGGGAATTGTATTAAATGATGTGATTTTTGTTTTTATCACTCAATTATCTCTAAAAAAGGTCTCACTGTACTTAATGAGATAGTAAACAAGTATCATTGATGCACTGTAAGTTGCCTTGAAATAATTTGGAAACGCATTTTATAAATGAATTTAAAGAATGCATATTTAAATGCATTCGGCATTTAATAAATAAATACTTTTATAAGTATATAATATATATATATTCACTTATGAATGTGTTAAAGCTTTCATGGATTGTCTTGTTACTTGAAGTGCTTGCATGTTTGCAGTTGAGTTCTGACGTTTTGGACTCATTGCAGAGTCCATCTTCAGAGTGATGGTTGCTAGTCGGTGGCTGCAACTATACTGGCCCATAGTGAGAGGCCCATGAAATTTAAGTATAACATTAATATTTTACGATATAAAAGATAAATGTGAAAATAACAACTTATTCTTTAAAATATGATATCATAAAATACATATATAAATATACCTAACACTTTTTAATAATAAAATTTAATGATAATCTAGTGGTTGATATAGTTTAAGAATTGTATATTATATATAGATAATAATACTATTTAAATTTTTTTTTAATATTTAACTAAAAATTTGTGATCTTTTGACGTATCATAGTTTTTCATAGAGTACAGTTGCTTAAACAATGTGTTGAATTCATTTATAATAAATTTACATCGATAAAACAATATTTTATATATTTTATTCGTATATGCAATATTCTGTATTTGAGTCTCCATACTAGCGAAATTAATATTTATGCCAATTAAGTTGTTATTGGTAAATTTTTCTATTTATAAAACTCATCACTTTTAATTTCAAAATTAAAAAACCCAGCACAGTGGGGTCGCGGCATATCTGTGATTAAAATCACTATCATAAGAAACGCTTCGATGCAAATCTTTAGATAGTTTTTAATTCTAAAAAATTAATGGATAATTACAAAAGCAACATCAACTTCTATTTCCTTAATTATATCAAGATTAGTAATTCTTTTAATTATATATTATATAATTTTTAAAATTAATTGTTTTCAAATTATTATTGATTTTGATTTTTAATATATTAAAAGTAATCATTTTTAACCTACTTTTTTTTACCTTTAAAGTGAAAGTTTTAATAAAAAAAAAATGAATTTATTACCATAACTTTCAGCTCAACTCGCAAGTTTGAAATCGACATTATTAAATAGATAAAATGGTATTGTTAAGATTAATATGCAATCAGGAAATTTTATAATTACTATTTACAGTACATTTATCAGAAAAGTTGGATTTTTTTTACATTTTTATCGTAATATATAGCTTAAATAGAAATAATAGTAATCATTTCCTAGTAACTTTTGGTGTTTAAAAAGATTCTACAATTGAAATATCCAGAATTGAATTAATTTTAATGATTTACTTTAACTAAATGAACCAATCAAAACAAAGTTATTAAAAATATTTACTCAATTGAGGGTATAATAAAATTTGATTATAATTGTAAAAATCCATTATTAATTTAGGAGAAACTAACAATCATTTTTCTTTAAATGATTTATATAGCAACATGTTATCAAAAATTTGTAATATTATAATCTAGTAGTAGTACACACAAATACAGTAAAAAATTTATTAAATTACAAAGTAAAATGATTTAATTTTATAGTTAAAACCTATCATATCAAACTTGATTCGTCAATAAATACTTTGAAAACATTAGAAATGAATGATTTTAATTGTCTGTATGGAGAACATGGGATCAGTAACTGTTTAATTGATAAATTAGAATTTTTTTTCAATATTTAGGGTAATATCTTCAACTAGATACGAATTGTAGTCATTTGACGTATCGTTGAAAAAAGTAGGTCAAGTTAGAGCAGAGAAAATAAATGATAGTAATAGATCACACTTAATTAAAAATCATAGTAATCATTTTTAATTAACTTTTGGTGTTTAAAAATATTTTACAATGGAAATATTCAGAATTCAATTAATTTTAATGATTATATATCTAAAAAAACCAATAAAAAAAAAGTTGTTAAAAAGATTTTCTCAATTGAGCATATTATACAATTTTATTATAATTGTAAAAATCCATCGTTAGATTTAGGTGAAACTAAAAATATATATTTTTTTTAATTTATGATTTATATAGCAACATGTTACAATAAAATTCGGAATACTATAGACGGTAGTAGCTCACACAAATAGAGTTAAAAAATTAATAAATTACAAAGTAAAATTATTTACTTTTGTAGTTGAATATTTTTATCATATCAATCTAATTCGACAATAAATACTTTAACAATATTAGAAATTAATGATTTTAATTGTTTGTATGGAAAAAGGGGGTTAAGCTACTTTTTTTTGAATAAGTAATATTTTTTCAATTTTAAGGGTAATATCTTCAATTAAATACGAATTGTAATTATTTGACGTATAGTTAAAAAAAGTAGGTCAAGTGAGGGTTGGCAAAATAAATCGTAGCCACAAAAAAAACTACATAGTAAAATAATATTAACATGAATATAAATTTCTTCTCACGAGGGTAGACTATAGTGATAGGATCCTTTGTATATATTGAAGTTATAGAATCTAAATGAGATAAATATCAAATGATTTGAAAACTTTATTCTAATTTGAAAAAAATGCAAAATATTAATGGTCACGGAAGTATTTGCACCTCGTACTCTTAGCGTGAAAACACAAGTGTTACCGATTCGGCAACTGTTCGTTGCTTTCGTCACATGATAAAATTAGCTAATTAAGCCAAGTCAAAATTAAAAGTTATTTTTTCAACTTAAAAGAGCAAAACATTTTTAATAAGTTTAATTTCTTATGCCTTATGAAATTTATTCTATGTCAATTAAATTATATAATATTCATGAAAGTCAGTGTATTTTAATGTTAATGTCTTCAACTAGATACGATTTGTAATCTTTTAACGTATTATTGAAAGAAATCGGTTTGGTGAGAGCTGAGAAAAAGTGGTAACAGACACAAAAAAATCACATCATAGTAAAACCAATACCTTCTCAGCTTCGCATCGAAGTTAATAAAATAATGATGTGAACATAAGCTGATTTAATTTTTCAACTTTTAAGCTGTTAAGAAAAAATGAGAGCTGAGAAAAAGTAGTGACAGACAGAAAAAATTTTTT